TGTAGTACTGTTGGTAGAAAAGAGAAGACCATTGGAGAGAAAGGCCTCAAAGGCAGGTGTGACTCTCTAGGCCCACTTCCGTTCCTGCCTGGGGGATGCTGAGCCAGTTTCTGGGCCTGTGATTGATCAGATGGTACTCAGTAAACTCAGTAAACTCAGTAAACTCAGTAAACTCAGTAGCTTTGCTTCACCCTTAGGAAAATGACGTACCTTTGCTGAAAGTGCAAAAGTTTCAGGTGGCCCACTGGAACACTTGGGCGCTCTCATAGCTGAAGGGTGTTGGTCAGGCTAAGACGCCCGTCCAGTTTCAAAAGCTATTTCTTGAAATAGGGGAGACAAGAGTTGTCTGCACAGATAACACACTGTGCTAGGTGCGCTATGCATGAACAAAGCACTTTAGAAGGACAGACTGGAGTGGTTAATTCTGCCTCAATGAGAAGGTCATTGATACAGTCAAACAAAGTAGAAAAGGTGGGAGGAGGGACCAGATCTTCTAAGCACAAGAATGTGTTTACACAGAAGGGTGGGCGCACGTGTCATGCTCTGGGGTTGTACTGGACAGGAGTTGGAAATAGACATGATGAGTTGAAAGAATGTGGATAAAACACTTAGCCCGCACTTAAGTGTGTCCAGGATTACTCTAGCTGGATGTGGTGGTGCGTGCCTGTAGTCCCAGCTACTCTGAAGGTAGAGGTAGGAGGATCACCTGAACTCAAAGTTTGAGGCCAACCTGGGCAACATAATAAGACCCCATCTCAAAAAGGAAAAAAAGATTCTATAGTTGTGGTTAAAAATATGGTTTGAGGAGAAAAGCACTGCAAATTCAAGTGCTCCCTGGTGGCTTTTTAAGGTGATCTTGATGAGTGCTCAGCAGTGCCTGGGCAGAGGGAAGAGGAGACGCTGAAGAGGCTGTGCATGCCACGAGGATCTGGCAGCTTTAGATGGGGTCATGAAGAAGAGAAAGGAGCAGACGATCTTATCTTGTAGCTCAGCTGGCTGGGTGGACATTCGAGAGGAAACAGGTGTCCGAGGCAGGGAAAGGAGAAAGAGAGTGTGTTTGGTTTCTGACATTTGGAATTTGGACGGCCTATGGGGCACCTTGGTATCAGTAGGTAGTTGGAGAGTTCTGAGCAGATAGAAATTCAGAATTAAAACTATGGAAACAGACACAGCCTGTCAGAGTGAGCCTGTATCCCAGAATGGGTGTGTTCCTATTGTGTAGGCACCTACTTTAAAGTCATAGAAACTGTCATTTTATTTTTTTATTTAAATATCACCTTTATGGAAATATGGTTTATGTGCAAAAAAATGCACCCATTTGGTGGATATTTAGGCGAGTTTTGATACATTATATATGACTGCCAGGGTCAAGCGCATACTTCCTCTCCTCACAAAGTTGCCTGGTGCCCTGTCCTAGACTGCTTCAGTCCACTCTCCTCCCTGCAGCAGTTCCAGGTGGTGGATTAGACATCTGTGTTCTGTGCCTGACTTGTTTCCCTCTATGTGACCTGTGGAGAGCTGTCCATGTTGCTGGAAGGATCTTACTTTACTCTCTTGCTGAGTGATACTGCGTCAGCTGCTTGTTTACGCTTTCTCTTGTCCCTAGACAATTGGACGTTTCCTAGTTCTGCCTATTTAAGTGAAGCTGATAGGAGTATTTGAAGTTACATGTGGACGTGTAACTTAATTTTTTTTTGGATACATATCTGGAAGTGGAATTGTTGGGTCATAGCAGAAAATGTATTTTCAATTTTATAAAAAAGTGCCAAACTTTTTTTTCTAAAGTGATTGCAGTATTTTACTGGGTTTTTTGCTTTATATTGTTGAGTGGCAAAAGCTGTTTATATATTTAGGACATAAACCTTCATCTGATAAGGTTTTATACATTTTCTTTTTTCTTTTTCTTTCTTCTTCTTCTTTTTTTTTTTTTTTTAATTAGAGACAGGGTCTCTCTATGCAGTCCAGGCTGGCCTCAAACTCATGATCCTCCTGCCTCAGCCTTCTGAGTGCTGGATCACAGGTGTGCAACATGCACCACACGCTATCAGGCTGTTTTTCATGTACTTTTTAACAGTCTGTGGCTTGCCTTTTTTTAATTGCTTAACTGTGTTTGAAAGAGTGAAAGTTTAGTGTTGAGGAAGCCCAGTGATTATTACTAATTCCTATGGCTTGTGATTTTTGGATCCTAGCTAAGAAATCTTTTGCCTTACAAAAAGTTAAATTGTACAGATTTTCTCCTTTGTTCTCTACTTAGAAGGGTTGTATTTGAGTCTCCATATTTGGGTATATGATCTGTTTCAAGGTAAATTCAATATATGGTGTGAGGTAGAGGATGAGACTCATTTTTGTTAGCATGAATTAGTGTGCAGAGGGTTTCCGTCCTTTATATGTGCATATATATGCATGTATTTCCATGTATGATACCGGGTATTTAACCACCTTCACCTCCTCTCTGAGGCCTCATTAGCGCCCGTTAAAGCAGTATTTAGTTGGTTTCATTATGCTGTCTTTATCTGTCGAGTGCCTCGATAGTGTTCCTCTCCTCCCTTCCATTGTCTCCCCCACTAGACAGTACAGCCCTTTTATGCTCATGTCCCCTCATTATCATTTTACGTCCAGATTATGCCTGTCAGCAAAAATGTGTGAGATGTGGCTTTTTGAGCTTGGTTTATCTCACCTGAAAATGATGTCATTTCATTCTTCTTTATGCTGACTACTCCTCGCTGTGTATATACCCCATTCATTGGTTTCTGGGCACCTAGGCTGGTTCCACAGCTTGGCTGTTGTGAACAGTGCTGCCATAAACGTGTGCAGGAATCTCTTGTGCGTTGGCTTACACTCCTTTAGATCTATGCCTGAGAGTGGTGTGGCAGGCTCATAAGGTAGGTAGGTCTATGTTTAGTGTTTTGAGGAACTCCATACTGATTTCCATAGTGGCTGGACTAATTTACATTCCCTCCACAGTGCATGAGGCCCTTTCTCTACATCACGCTGGCATTTGTTTTCTGGCTGGGCTGAGATGGAGTATCAGTGTCGCTTTGCTGTGCAGTTCCTGTGCAGCTAAGGGCTTGGACAGTTCCTGTATATATTGGCCACTTGCAGTTCTTTTGGAAACGCTGTTCAATCCATTACCCATCTATTGATTGGGTTATTTTTCTTTTGCTGTTTAACGTTTGAGCTCATATTCTGGGTGTTATTAATCCTTGGTCCGATAATAGCCTACAAAGATTTTCTCCCATTCTTTGGGTTGTCTCTTGGTTGGTATTTTTTGTTTTGTTTTGTTTTGTACTCTTCATTCCAGTTCTCTAACAGTGGGGAATGCAGAGAGCTGACTACATTAATCATGTGATCTTCAGGCATACCATTTATCCAGGCTTTGTTGTCTTTAATCATTTTTTTTGCATTCTACTTAAGTCTTCAAGTGTCATTTTGCTGGGCTTTGGATTTCACTGATATGAATGATTATTTCAGAGAAATTGGTGATTTGTAATCATACCATTAAACTTGCATCTTTGAAAATTATCTTGTTGGTACATTATTGGTCGCTTTAACTGATCTTTCCCTCCAAAGGAGCTGATGCAACAGAACGGGATTGGGTATGTGTTAAACGCCAGCAGCACGTGCCCAAAGCCTGACTTCATCCCTGACTCCCACTTCCTGCGAGTGCCTGTGAATGACAGCTTCTGTGAGAAGATTTTGCCATGGCTGGACAAATCGGTGGACTTCATTGGTATGTAGCTGAGTGCAACACGCAGCCTTGGGTTAGAGTCTTTTGTCTAGGCGTAGCCCCTCCACACCTGTCTGTCTTCAGAGGAAAGGCATCTATTTTAAAGATTTCAGAAGTCTGAAAACAACACAGGATGTTGCTCAGTCATTTAGTGGTCAAGGTGACGTGCGTGTCATGCTGTCCCTAAGGGACTGGTCTTGTGACATGCTGGCTAACTTTTAACAGTATCTAGGTAAGCCTAGTAGAATCTGTGGCTGTGTGTTGCAACTGTTTGAAAATCAGTTAAGCTTGAGTTAGTTTCCCTCCCCTCCCACTTCTTGAACTCCTACAAAACTTTTAAGAAACTTTCTTGATATTCCCTTTGCCTTGCTGTTTTCCTTTCAAAGTCTTTCCTGTGTTACAAGATGTTTGAGCCTCACTCTACAGATCAGTAATTTCAAGTAGTTTGGGGGCCAATAAAATTCCAGCACAAACACGTACACAGAGTTATTTCCTCTACCGTGGTGGTGACAGGAGCTGGTCTGTGCCATACTTTGCTGTGCTTTCTGGCCATGTCAGGAGCTTCTGTGACAGCAGGCAGGCCCAGGTCTGCCAGCAGCAGCTTGTTGACACGTGCTGACCGTGCTTTCACTGGACACTGGCTGAGCAGGGGACACTGCCTGCTCCCAAGCAGCCTGACAAGGCTCTCGACTCTTTATGTCCCATGCAAGGGATTTTTGTGTTTCTCTGCCCATGTCACATAACTTTGAGCACTTGAACCAATAATTAAAAATCAAAGAACCACTTCCTTTTAAAAAGCACCACTGCTATGCTGAGCCACTGTGCTTTCACCTGTGAGAGGATTTCCTGAGCCATGTCTTGGAAAGCTTCAATGATGCGGGAGCAGCGCTGTTCCCAAGACTCGCAGGTGCCAAGGCTTTCCCCTTCAGTTAGGCTTCCTCCTGTGAAGCATCTGAAGATAAATGTCGTGGTGACAGTTCACAGTAAAATAATTTCAGCTCCCCCAGTTAACTCTTCATTCAGCACAGCGTTCAATCTTTGCCTTAAAAAATAAGCTATGGCTAACGTAGTCAGTGCCATGTTGATCCAGGGACATGTGACCTGACTTCAGCTGCAAGGTCCATCTCAGAATCCGTCTAGAAGAGGACCTGCTCCCTGAGGTTGTGACAGGTAACGACACTTTAGAAGGGATGAGTAGAAAACATGAAGAACGTTAGCCCACTTGCTTTTTCCTGTGAGATATTGGGGTCGCTGTGCCACTTTTCTTTTACATAGGAGCTTGTCCCATGTTCCAGATTGGCTGAATACATATGTGCAGATGCAAAGAGTATTTTATTTGCTTGGCCTTACATACTAGAGCCACTGGCCTGTCCTACTCTGATAATCCAAGACAAAAACCTTACTTTAATTTATATTTCCCAATTATTTAATTCTCCTCCATAGTGTCTTAAGCCGGATTATTCATGGCAGACCCACGACCACAGCTGATGAGTAACTTGAGTGGGAGGTTTCTTTCTCTTTCTTTCTGTTATTTACATTAAATTTCAGTAAGTAGCCGGGTTTGGTGGGAGGACTCAGGTTTCATGGAACTTTACTTTTAGTTGATGTCGGCAGTGGTGACACAATTGGCCAGTTTGTGCTGTGGGGTCCTCAGGAGGTGGCCCCTTCCCACTGGCTGCCTGCACAGCCTTTGCTCCCTCCGCACTGTCCCCTTGGCTGCTGCCCCTCCCCCACACTCACAACTTTGCCTGTACTTTGGAGCCAAACTGCTTTTGAGTCCTGCCTCCCCTGGTCAAGTGACTTTAGATAACTAACTAAAGGAGCTTGTGTGCCTGGGTCCTGAACTGGACACTGAAGAAATACGGGCTTTACAGTGATGTTTGGGGACTGAAATAGATGATGGGTGTGCACTGAGCATTTGCTCGCCAGGTCATTACTTAGAGTTGGCTCTTAATATTTCTTGGGTTTTTGTAGAAAGGTCTTGCTATGGTGCCCAGGCTAACCTGGATTTTATGGGCTCAAGAGATTCTCCCACCACCTCAGCCTCCAAGTAGCTGGGACTATAGGCGTGAACCACCATGCCTGGCTCTGAACTGCAAATTCTTGTGGAAATGAAGGAAACCTTAGGGTTGAGCTATTTATTAGTCAAGGCAGAAGGCGAGAACTAAGCAGTGTGGATGGAGCCTGTGTAGTTGAGGGAAGGAAGTGGACTGTAGGGAGGGACTTTATGTACTGAGTAGAGCTTGGGCCTCTGTATCAGTGTGCTGTGTCCGTTACTGTTTTATTGTGTTGGGTTTCCCTGTCTAGAGGGAGGCTGCTTGGTTACACATTTACTGTCTCAACTCCCGGACTGATTTGTACATGAGGAATAGCTCATTGTAAACACTGGAAGTTTGTGATGAACAAACCGGTGAGACCGGAGCAGCTTCACTGCTCAGCTGCTGGAACAGGCTCCTTCCAGACCTGGTAACGATGAGGGCTTTACCATGAGCAGTGGTAAACTCCGGTGCTATCAACTGAAATGAAAAAGGAAAGCACACTCCTTAGATCCCTGGCAACAGCTTCATGGCTGAGCACACACGGGGTTGTTGACTGCTTAGTGTTTCTTGCTTCCAGGCTGTGAGGATAAGGTCACCTGCTCTCCAGGCCCCTCAGCAGAGAGATGACAGCACGTCTGAACGTCCCTGCTCCTTTGGTTCTAGCAGTGTGTCCATAAGTCCTTTAAGACGTTAAGGGGAATTAAGAAGATGCAATAAAAAGTAACTTCGGGTTGTCGAGGAAGGGTGAGAGTTCTCTTGGTCCTCAGTGAGGCCACCTGGTAAACCCGAGCCCTGGCGATGATGTGGTTTTCTTCTCAAATTCAGCAAGTAAACTTGGGCCATTTTATGGCTCACTGAAGTTTCCTAAGGGAAAACAGATTCAATTCCCAGCACAGCAAAAACAAAAATCAAAACGAAAACCTCTGCGTGGCAGGCATCTTTTGTGTTGTGCATGTGTTTCAGCCTCTCCCTGCCCTCCCGTCTGAGTACTGAGGTGTGTATGTGCATATGTATTTGAAATGAAAGCAGATTTTGGAAAAATCCTATGTAATCAGATGAAAGTGGAATGGTTGTTTCCTGCTTTGTGTATTCCTCAGTGTTTCTGAGATGTACTACACTAAGCAAGCAGAACATGTAGGATTTACACCCAGGAAAATTTATTAAAATGATACGTAAAAATATATGGCGAGTCAGTAACGCATGACTGTCCATTGTGTACCCTCGGCGAGGTGATTGTCCCCTTGCTCCTCGAGACAGTATTGAGAGGGTAAGTGTGCTGAGGTTTCCACGTGAAGACACTGAAAACATTAAGGTCAGGGAAGTAACATTTCATTGGTGAACAAATTGTCACTCGTGACCTTTCTTGAATGTGACTCGTGCAGAGAAAGCAAAAGCCTGCAATGGCTGTGTCCTCGTGCACTGCCTGGCCGGGATCTCCCGCTCCGCCACCATCGCCATCGCCTACATCATGAAGAGGATGGACCTGTCTTTAGATGAGGCCTACAGGTGAGCACAGGCCCGGCTTCCCTGGCTGCCTTGTCACTCGCCCTGAACATGATTTTAGTCACTCTTCACCACTTACTGTGGAGTTTTTGTTTTTGTTTTGGGTAGTGGGCTTCGTGCATGCGAGGCAAACACTCAGCCCCTTACAGGGGAGTTAGGCGCTCATGTAGAGCCTGGAGAAGACTGCCTTAGCCACCCTTCACGATGCCTCCTATGCTTCATCCTCAGCCACCTCTTCAGTTTAGGAACAGGTCAGGCAGAGCTTTGTGTCCTGTGCGAGCCTACCCTCTCCCTGGCTGGGAGTTGCGTTCCTTCCAGTTCCCGGAGGGCAAAGCTCCAGTAGAACCTTGTTATCAAACCCGCTCTGCTGCAAACTTCATATCGCTGGGAGGAAAAAGCCAGAGCCCTCAAGTGTGAACCCAAACTGTCACACCCATTCTTGGAGTAAAATGTCCTATGCTCTACAGTTGGTCACATTTGGCAGGGAATAAGTGACGAGGCCTCCTGTCCCCTTTTTCTCAAAAGGAAAGGGCAGTCCTGCTGACTGACTGGAGTTTCGCTGGGTGACTGGGGAAGCTGAGTCCCCTGCATGCATTGGTGGGTTGGGGTGGTTTTTTCTCATGTGATGAAGAATCAAAAACACAGACCTCTTCAGAAAGCAGGCCTGTTTTAACAGTTGGATTTTTTTCTCAAATTGTGAATTTTGGACAAAAGAAATGTGCTGCCTGAACAGCTTGTCCCCTGCTGAAGGAGCGGGGCGGTGGGGAGGGGGCTGTTTCTGCTCCAGCTCCCCTCCATGCAGCCTTCAGCGGCCTCGCCTGCTGGCGTTGTGTCAGGAGTCTGGGAGGCCGCCCGCCTGCACTTGCAGTCGCAGCATTGCCCGTTGCCTTCAGGTCACTTGGCTCCCCATGGAGCTTGGTTTTATTTTTCTTGTTCCTTATTCATGCACTTTACTCCCACATCTGATAAGCATCATGAGGAATTCGTCTACTCTGGGAACATGTTTCTTCAATGAAACATACAAGCCATCTACTTTCAGCATGGTGGTTACAGAAGTGGACCAGAGAATAGGCACAACTGGCTTTGAATCCCAGTGCTGTCGTGGAGTGGCTCTGATTTGGGGCAAGTCAACTTAGGGACTTTGTGTGCGTGTGTGATGGGTATCTGATAGGCTGTAGGTTTGAGGATTGAGTAAGTCAGTGCCTCAGAGGTGCTTAGCACCCAGAGACCATTTGTTCTTTCTGATTTTTTTGGGGACTGGGGACTGAACCCCAGGACCACATGCATGCTAGACAAGTGTGCTCTACCACTGACTACTTTGTAGGTGGTTATTCTCTCAATTTGAGTACAAGTGGAGCACTCAGATATTTTGACCATCTTATGCCATCTTTTTGTCATTAATTTAAAATGTGAAATGAGAAGTGACTCCAGGGACTTAAGAGAGAGAATACAGGAAAACTGAAGCTGTGAATGACTAGTATCCAGTACTTGGGATGACAGCACTGGAGGGAGAATTCTTTCATGGTGATCCCAGAACCCTCTCATCTATTGCAGTGGAAGCTTTGGGTCCTTGAAAATAAGGAGGCTAAAACTGAAGTGGGGCCTGGTGGAATGGCTCAAGTGGTAGAGCACCAAGCAAGTATAAGGTCCTGAGTTCAAACACCAGTACTGCCAAAACAATAAAATGAAAAAACAATGGCTGGGGGATGTAGCTCAGTGGTGGAGTGCTTGCTTAGCTTGTGTGAGGCCCTGGGTTTTGATCCCCAGGACAACAAAGAAATCACAAAAAAGACAAAACAAACAAACAAACCTGAAGCCAGCCTCCAGTGTGTGCCCAGGACACGTTAAGAGTCCCCAAGCCCTGCTGAGTATTCGGGGAGGCCTAACAATTCTCCATCTCATTATTCACTTGAAGTCCTGAGGACAGAGCCGGTGTGGTGGGTGTGGTGTGTATACATGAAATCCTAGCACTTGGGAGGGTGACGCAGGAGGATTGTGAACTTGAGGCCGGCTTGGGCTATGTAGTGTAAGACCCTGTCTCAAAATACAAAACAAACAGAAATCCAAAAACAAATCCTTGAGGTGCAGTGCAATTGTAAGTGCAGGCATTTTCTTTGTCATCTCTTCACAGATTTGTGAAAGAGAAGAGACCTACTATATCCCCAAACTTCAATTTTCTGGGCCAGCTCCTGGACTACGAGAAGAAGATAAAGCAGCAGCCCGGCACGTCAGGGCCGAAGAGCACGCTCAGGCTGTTGTACCCGGAGAAGCCACACGACCCTGTCCCCACAGTCCCAGAAGGAGGGCAGAAGAGTGAGCAGCCCCTCAGTCCACATCCACCCTGTGCCAACTCTGCTACCTCAGAGGCAGCAGGGCGCAGGCCCGGCATCCAGCCACTGCTCTTGGACAGTCCACTGGCACATGCGCTTGGCGGGCTCCACCTGTCCTCAGACAGGCTGGAGGACAGCAGCAAGCTCAAGCGCTCCTTCTCTCTGGACATCAAGTCGGTCTCCCACTCAGCCAGCATGGCCGCATCCTTGCATGCCTTCTCCTCGTCAGAGGACGCTCCTGAATACTACAAACCCGCCGCCACTCTCGATGGGACCAACAAGCTCTGCCAGTTTTCCCCAGTTCAGGAAGTGTCAGAGCAGAGCCCAGAAAGCAGCCCTGACAAGGAGGAGGCCCACGTTCCCAAGAAGCCCCCACCTCCCAGGCCTGCAGACAGCCAGAGCAAGCGGTTGCACTCAGTCAGAACCAGCAACAGCGGTGCCGCCCAACGGTCCTTCGTCTCCCCACTGCACCGAAGTGGGAGCATGGAGGACAATCACCACCCCAGCTTCCTTTTCGGCCTTTCCACCAGCCAGCAACACCTCACCCAGTCTGCCACCGGGCTGGGCCTCAAGGGCTGGCACTCGGACATCTTGGCTCCGCAGACCTCCGCCCCCTCCTTGACCAACAGCTGGTACTTTGCACCAGAGCCATCGCACCTGTACCCAGCCTCAGCCATCTATGGGGGTGCTGCTGCCTACTCTGCCTGCAGCTGTAGCCAGCTGCCCACCTGCAGCGACCAGGTCTATTCCGTGCGTAGGCGGCAGAAACCCAGCGACAGAGCGGACTCCCGGCGGAGCTGGCATGAGGAGAGCACCTTTGAAAAGCAGTTCAAGCGCAGAAGCTGCCAGATGGAATTTGGAGAGAGCGTTATGTCGGAGAGCAGGTCGCGGGAGGAGCTGGGGAAGGTGGGCAGCCGCTCCAGCTTCTCGGGCAGCATGGAAATCATCGAGGTGTCCTGAGAAGAGACCCTCTGACTTCTGGTGACAGCTTTTTTCTTGTTCACAAAAAATGTTCCCTGTAAATCTGAAATCTATGTATGTACATACATATATATTTTTGGGAAACGGAGCTCTGGTGTAAAAGTGAAGATGGATCTGCATAGTTGTTCTCGACATCTGCACGGTGTTTCTCTTGACAAACATGGAAGGGCAGACGCCGGAGCCCTGCCCGTGGAGCGTTGTCTCGCTCCCCAAAAGCAGGTTCACCTGACATTAGAGGACAGAGCCCTGGCCGTTTTCATTGTTACTCAGATCTCCAAACCCGCCTCTGTCCAGTCCCTCCTGCAGCGCACCTTACGCTGAGCCTGAGCCAGCCTGGGGGTCAGGTGGGGAGACCCTCTTAAGAGAAGTGATCCTGTCCAAAGCTGATTCACAAAGCCAAGCTCACCCCACAGCTGAGTGATTCAAGCATCGTTCTGCTGGACGGACCATTAGGGCCTTGCCCAGATGTACTCTAGAACAAACCCAGTACCTCAGACATGACAGTCGGGCCTTCCACCACCACCAGCACGTCCGCTAGTCCCTTTCTAGGCATTGTGAGTAGGTAGGTAGGTAGCCAGTCACACTTTGCAGACCAGTTGTGACAGTCTGTGTGCAAAATTCCAGTTGGGCCTGGAGGGAGTGGTTAACATTTGTTTCCTCTTCTCAGCTTTAGAGGAGAAAATCCTAGGATTCAACTTAGGAACCCGGCATGATGATTTAAGCAAGGTTGGGAGGCTGAGCAAGTCTACCTCCCTCTTCCAAAATCAAAGCATTGTTCCAATGGGATTACCAGTCCTTAACTGAAGGGTAGATTGCTTTAAAGTGAAGTGAGGACTGTTTGCATTATAGCAGCACCGTCATGTTCTCGGCCGAAGTGGGTGGTTTCCATTTCTGTTCCACCGCCTGAGGCACGTGAGAATGCAACACGGCGGATTTTATAGGGAACCTCCTAGTGAGAAGGACCATGGAACATTCGGGAAGGTGAAATGGCCAAGGACAAGCTTCCTCTCCTCAGCATGTGAGGAACGGGTACTTCCCTAAATTACCTTCCTCAGACTTCCAAATTTACCATAGGGCCGATGCAGAGTACACCAGAGCAGGAAGGCGGGGAAAGCGGTTGAATTTTCTTTCGAGGTGAGTAGAGTGCAAAGCCATAACCTAGAGATTTTCAAAAACTATCCCCAGCACAGGTTGAGTAGAAGGGATGTGAAGAGAAAGCAAGAGCAAGGTGGCTTCCGGTCCTCACCTACAATCACTGTATGGACTCAAGCCGGCAGCTGAGCTTAGTGACAGGACGCATCTGCCTTACACTTCCTGGCCCGAGTTTTACCCACTACAGCATTTTGGGAGGTGGGGACGTAGGGAAGGGGTTGTCCTTTGCTTAAGTGTAGCTAGGTGCTGACTCTTACCTCAGGTTTTTCAGTCTGAGAAGTGGATAGTTCTTTGTCTAGGATGTGACTTAAGTGTTTCCTATGGTGACTGCTAAAACCAGCATAGAAGGACACAATTCAGAAGTGGCTTGGTCATGAGGACTGTGAGTCTCACGTCCGTGTGCGGAAGTGCTGCGATGTGATGTGAGACAGGCAGGAGCACGTGACCATGCTGAGAAGTTCTGTCATACACACTTAAACCTTTATGTAATCAAGCGTTCTCAAGGTATACACACAGCAAATGTAACAGCTCACCACTTCCAGAATCTGGTCACATCTGTCACACATCTTTCAGAGATGAAAGCAGTAGCTCCATCGATCAGTACGTTCAGGAGAGCTGGGGAACCTGATTAATGACATCTTTAGGCAAAACTTCCTTGTGTCATTAGGGTTTCTCTTGGCCAGGGTCACCTTCCTTCCCATGACTGACGTAGCCACACACTACAGCCATCAGTCCTTCGTCACTAACATCAGATAATCAGATCTTGGCATGAGGACTGTCCTGGAGCTGCAGGTGTGGGTGGTACGGCTGGCTCTCAGCTCTCCTCAGCAGGTAGGGAGTCATGGGGAATCTGGAATCCTCGGGGGTTGCAGGATGGTGATGTGAAAGAGCAAAGCTAGACGGCTGTGAGAAATGCGGGGAGATGGTTCAGGACATTTGTAAACTTAGGTGGAAAGCCTGTATAAATGTTTAATATGAATATAGTGTTCGTTTGGAGTGAGGCAAGCTGTTGAATGGTTAATTGTGCATTTCTCATTGATGTGTCATGTATGTTAATATGATGAAATAAAATCAAAACTGGTACCTGTTTCTACATGAATGAGTAAGGGCCTCTCTTTGCAGCTATAAACTCGGTGGGAACAGCAATACCTATGTGTGGAACCTGTCCTGTCCTCCCAGAGGCAGTAGTGCAAAGAAAAGTGGTGCTCTCACGGGTCACCGGCTGACACTCCAGTGCCTGCCTGCCACCTTTAACGTGCATGCCCACTGCACACTACATTGTAGAAGTAGACTGAGTCCAGGACACACAAGTACAGGCTAGGAAGAAAAGGGGCAGCTAACTACTTATGGTGCACTTTCATGTAATAAGTAAATGATGTTCTCTTAGGAGAAATGAGGAAGGGTAGGCACTAAAGATCTTTGCTCCACCCTTCCATGTGTATCTGAGTGGCCTCTTAGCTTCTGACAGTGGGTATAGTAACAGGAGACAGTTTAATAAAAGTTATGCATTAAAATATCTGTCTTCAGTACAAGCAGATGGAATGAGTATGAAGAGGACTGGAGGTGGCTGGGGTGCAGCTCATGAGCGAGCACTTGCTCTGCATGTACAGTGCCCAGGACCAAAGAGGAAAAAAAAAACAATCACAGGTTACATCGTTGAAGCTGGGTTTAAGAAAAAGCAAGAAGGATGAGCCTGGATGAGCCGTCACTGGAAAGACCTTTACGTTACAGAAAAACAGGTGGGTGTGGGAGAAAGGAGAAAGTGGAGTGGAAGAGCAGGTATCCCCCAAAGAGGCCTCAGGCTTAGCTCTTGGGAAGGCCTGGAGGTTTTCAAGCCAGTTGTCTACTTGGTTGGACAGAGCTGGGAGACTCACAGACCAGTCTGAACCTAGTTTGGAGCTAACAGTGAAAATTAGACAAAAACTTAAACTGCAGGGAAAATGGGGAAAGTACAGGCTTCTAAGACGTGAAGAAAAACGTATTTGATGAGGTCAGGGTGTATACTGTGACTAGTTGATGAAAACTTTGTAGCCTCAAAGTATGCACTGTTACTTTAAATGCTCCCCTTTCGTTTGGGAGTGCAGGAACTTTGGGCTGGGGTGTAGCTCAGCGGTGCAGCGCTGGCTTGGCATGAACAAGGCCTTACGTTTCAGGTCTAGGAAACTCGGCTGTCTAGGCACTTATCTCCCAATGTTACTCTTTCACATCGATAAATGGAAGAGGCAAGTATTTCTAGCACTGAGGGATTCTGCATCCTCGTAACGTAATGGTACTTGGTCTGCTTCCCAGCGTGGTGAAGTGAAAACCACAGCACTATCTTGAAGGAAGCTTCCAACTCAGTCACATTGTCGCCATTTAGATAAAAGCAAGTCCTACTGCTTCCAGCTGAGACAGTTATAATCAGCTCAAAGATGCTGTCCCACAGGAAATGCAAAATGCGACCTTGTGCAGACTGCAACAGGCAGATCCAGTGGTGTGAACAGGTTACTTCTATGGTCTGGGTGGTGTGCTAGGCCACTACGGCACTTTCAAGGACTGAATTGAAAGTCCTTGGTTCACAAAGGCTTTTAGCATAAATCGCGCCTCAAAGAATGAGTCTTGATTGACTGGTGAAGAAAAATTACTTGGGTCATTGGCAAGTTCCCCCAGGTCTTCCACCAGCCCCATGACCCTGGAAACGTGGCTAGTAGGGTTAGCAGGCCCTGTAACACCCTGCCCAAGACGCAGGTAGGTTTGGATGCCAGTTTTTTGTTTTAGGGGCTGGCAGCATATGAATAATAAAGCTCTCTGGTCACTCTTCCCTTCTGTAGCCACAACGCGCTGTTGGGAAGTACACCCGTGTCTGGTGTGACAGACACAAGCCATTCAGCATTACGATAACTTAGTGAACAAGGACTCTTTGGGCCCATTTAGTCATATCAAAGGAACGAAGGGCAGGGTGAGGGAAGAGAAACACAAATTTACTTCTCATGATCAGGAATAGTCTGCAGGAAGAAAAGTGTTCACTTCTCCCCATTCCGTCCATCGGAGTTTGCTGTCGGCATTTCAAGTAACTGGCTGTTGAAGACATCTTGGGTGTGTTGACAGCAGCTAAGGGAAGACATGGTTCCCAGTCACACTGGAATTTTAATGTGTTTGCTCATGATCTCATTTTTCAAGATTCCTGGTTTTGCCTTGAGACATAAATTTTCAAACCACACAAAGGTGGCACATATCACCTCCCCAGGGCCATTAGTCATTAGTTTATGTCTTAGGAACAGCCTGTTTACAATACCTGTAATGTAAAGGTGACATCAGTAGCCTCTTTCACGAGTCTGAAGAAAAGAAATACCCAGAGAATACCAAAAGAAAGAAACAAAACTCATCAAATTGAGTGTGGTGGTACATGTCTAGAATCCCAGCACTCAGGAGGCTGAGGCAGGAAGACCATGAGTTTGAGGCCAACCTAAGCTAACCTGTCTCAAAAACCAAGGGCTGGGGTTATAGTTTAATGGCAGCATGCTTGCCTGGAGTGTGTTACGCCCTGCATTAGATCTCCAGCACCTGGAGGAAAAAGCCACAAAAACACTCAGTTCTCGAGTGCACTCCTCTATGCCAGGATACGGTGTTCTCCAAACTTCGTCAAACCCCAACTGCAGAGAACACTGGGTAGGTGTCTCAATTCAGTGCACTTCACACTCCGAGTTTACCTTCTAAAAGGCAGGAGACTGTATACTTGGTACAAAATACAGAACGTCATGTATGTGTAATCACTAAGAATGATAAAGGTTGAGGAAACAGACCTGAATCTACAGAATAGCTTGTGTCACATGAAGTCATGTGATCTGACCTGCACAGCTTGTGTGTTACATTCACAGTGACCTTGGGGTGAAGGCCAGCTTCTGCTGACTTTCCACTTTAACTAAGAGCTTGCAGCACAATGGCCGAGTGACAGTTCCTACATGCACAGCAGTAGATCAAGAGAGAGAAAATAGGCGCTCAAGGGAGCCAGTGCTAGGGCTCACACCCACGGTCCTAGCTGCTTGGGAGGCTAAGGTCGGGAGGATCATGGTTTGATGCCAGCTCAGGCAAAAAGTTCATGAGACCCTCCTGCCCCATCTCCAAAATAACCACAACAAAAAGTACACTGGAGGTGTGGCTCAAGTGGTAGAGCACCTGCTTTGCAAGAGCAAAGCCCTGAGTTCAAACCCCAGTCCCCCCCAAAAAAAAAAAAAACACAGTGACATATCTCAATAAAGTTGTTTAAGAAAAAAGGAGGGAAGGAAGGAGGGTGATGCTCTCTCAACAGCTTAGAATTTAAAGTCACCACCAAGACCTAGGACCATGGCTGAGACACAACAGGTAAGATGCTCTTCACTGCTGAGTAGTTGAGCTACAGTGAGGGTCACCATAACCAGCAGACAACAAAAGGAGTGTTCCATCAGGACAAGAGGGGCCCAGACAGAGACTTAAACTGGAAAGTTGGGGGGCAATGACAGCGCGCAGACCTGGGTTGTGTGAGATTTTTATATTTACAACTTGTGACTCAGAGAGCCTGAGTAAACTTTCACAACCGGACAAAGACACACAGGTTCTTACATGTGTCTCCATATTTTCATGTCAGCAGCTAGACTATTTACACTTAATTTAAAAAATGTAAACAAAATAAAAGTAACTCTGGATGCAGAGCTCTTTAAAGAACCTAATGCTTCTGACGCCCTGACGTCAGCTGTCAGCAAGCACCAGCGCTTCAGTCCACGCAGAAGGGCGAGGTGGGTGCTTGCGCCCGGCCAGGCGGCGGCCCTACAGCCTGAGCTCGCGGTCAGGCCTTGCGCTGAAGGGCTCCAGCCGCTCGCCCTCGGGCAGCATGCCATTGAGCCGCTCCATCAGAGGCACCGTCTGCTCCATGCCCATCTGGATGCGGCGCAGGATGGCCGACATCTCGTTCACTTTCTGGATCTGCTCCGCGTACTTGGCGTATCTCTTCTGGCGCTCTTGCATGAAGCTAAACAGGGTTTCTACAGACAGGTCCATCTGCGGAAGGCAAAGAAGCATAATGCGTTCAACTCTGCCCATCAAGTCCAGCTCGAAGTCAAGCAGAGGTGGCTGGTTTTTAGGGGAAGCACTGGTAGTAAAACGCCCTCCAAGGGGGCACAGTTTTGTTATCTGCCACACCAGTACCACCCTGACGGACCAGAGAGCCATTTATACCCTGCTGAGAGTTCTATCTCGCTACCAGGGAGAATGCTGGGCGAGATCACGCAGACTCGGATGTGCTGCCATGAGTAGCTAGTATTTATCATTTCTGTCTCAGGCTCTGCAAAAAGCCAAACTACAGTCATACGCCAGGCGTGAAGGGTCAAAGTAGTTCACACACGATGGTAGTCTCCTAAGATTATTATAATGATTCTTGATTATTATAATGACACGCCACACAAACAGAATGCCAAAGCAAACAGAGGTAGTTATAGCTGACAAAGGAGACATCAAGCCAAAATTAGTGAGAAGGACTAGAGATAGTCACTCAAGATACAATAGCTACAATCATGTGCACTGAACTTTGGTACACCCATTTCATAAAAACAAACACTACTGGACATGAACAGTGTATCTGGACAGACAAATGAAAATACAGTAGTGGGTGACTCCAATACCTCACTCGCAGCAACAGTCAGATCACTCAGAACATTAACAAAGAAACTTCAGAGTGGAGCTGCACCACAGACCTCCACAGAACATCCCATCCAACAACAGCGGCCCACGGGATTTTCTTCCCATGATTTTCTTCAAAGTAGATATTTTAGGCCAAAAAAGCTAGTCTTAACAAATACAAAAAAAGTGAAATGATTTCTTGTATCTTATCAGATAACACTAGAATCAACAGTAAGAGAAACAAAAGAAACTACACCTTGTTACACATGGAGGCTGAGCCATATACTTTTGACCGATGAAATCAGTCAAAAGAAATCAGAGGAGAAATTTAAAAATTCCTAGAGCCAAATTAAAATGAAAACACAACTTAGCAGAACCTATGGCATACAGCAAAGTCAGTGCTATCTTAGTTACTTTTTCTTGGTGGGGGGCTGGGGGGAGTGGAACTGGGGTTTGAATTCAGGGCTTTGCACTTGCAAAGCAAGTCCTCTATCACTTGAGCCACACCTCTAGTCTATAGAACTGTACACAAACACAATGTCAATTCTACTTTATCCATTTTTGGGGGTTCTGAACTCAGGCCTTCATGTTTGCAAAGCTTGTGCTCTACTACTTGGGCCACGCTTTCTA